ACCCACTGCATCACCCCCTGCATCATCACCCCCTGCATCACCCCCTACATCATCAGCCACACTTCAGGTCCCCCTGCACCCCGTCTGGTCCCAGAGCTCCGTGCCAGCCCTGTGCCCCGGGCTGGGCTCAGCTGCTGCCTCCCCAGCCTGCCCGAGGTGCTGCTGTGCTGGGCAAGGTCTCACCGTGGCTCGCGTCCGGCCAGAGCCAGGGACCTGAGGGGACAAGGAGCAGCAGCGTGTGGCACTGCAAGGCCACAGGAGGTGGCAGGGCTGGCACTAACATCGTGGATTTCAGCTGATTGATCTCTGGCACACCCATTTTCCCAGCAGGAGAAATCAGGTCCCAATTGAAGCAGGTACAAAGCTGACCCAGGCTCCAGCTCTGCTCAGATCTGAGGGGAATACAGGGTGCTGTGGGCATGGTAGGACCCTCTCCTCCATCAGACCCCAGGAGGGGCATGGCTGTGGCCAAACTCTGCTGGGCTGGGACCCCCCGTGCCCAGGGCAGCCCCACTGTGCCCCACAGGTGGAGGGACCTGTGCCCCAGGTATCAGCAGCAGAGCCAGTGGTGCCCCCCCGAATGCTGAGCTGTGCTCAGCCCCTGCCACTGTGGCTGGGAACGGTGGAAGGGCGGCCGTGCAGGGATGAGCTGGCAGGAATAACTCACACAGCCCTCGGCAAAGCACCCAGAATAGAACCTGCCCATAGCGGGTGCCTCTGGGGAGATGGGGCTGCTCCAGCCCTTGGTGAGGCTGCACCGGCACCCCACCTGTGCCTGAGCCCAAAGGGGCCAGGAGATCCAGAGGTGGTCCTTTGGGTAAGACCCTTCCCCAGAAGACAGAGCCAGCTCTGCTCAGCCGGGGGGTGCAGCTCCTCCCAGGGTGAGGAGAACATGGAGCTAACAGCTCCTCACCATCCTGTCCCTGCCCCACAATCTCGGCCCCTCAAGGCATCACTGCAGCCCCTCGAACACCCTGGGAACCACAGCTGCACCCCACAGAGACCAGACAGCCTCGTCACAGTCCCAGAAAGCAGCTCCCCCTTCTCCAGGCTAGGCCAGGCTCTAACCATAACCTCAGCAAGCTCCAGTAAATGGGTGACAGCTCCCAGGCTGCTCATCCAGGTGGGACAGTGCTGGGATGGCCCCACAAAGCACCCAGCTGTTCTCCTTGTGACTCAGTTCTGTCACCTCTGCCCCTCTCTGTCCTGCCAGGAGAAAGGAGCCCCGTGCCCAGGTGAGGATTCTGGGTGCCGGTACCGCCCGTGCCACAGGGGATTGGTACCAGCAGCAGCCCCTCCAGGCACTGCCCAGCCCTCCACTCCCTGCCAGGGCTGTCCTGTGTGGGCAGAGCACCCTGTGGTGGCACCCCAAAGCCACCTCATCCCAAACTGATCACGTCTGGACCCCATCCTGCTGCCCCCAAGGCTGCACAGGCACTGCTGAGACCAACCCCACAGCTCAGAGCCCTGCACAGAGCTGCAGCTTCTCCAGCAGCCATCCCTGTGTTGCCATGGCATCCTCAGGGATGGCAGAGATACTGGTGAGGAAGAAAAGGACGATGAAGATAGGTGGACACATTGGCTCTGCAAAGCCAGGGCATGGCTGGGGAAGATTTGAGACCCTCTGGCAGCAGGCAGGGACTATTCTGCTCCCCTCCACGGAGGCTTCAGCTCCCAGGACTGGCATCACCGTGCTCCCCTCCCTGCTGGGGCATCTCCCACCCCATGGACACCTGGAAGTTGATGAGTCTAGGCTGGTGGAGCAGGAAAGGGAACTCTTGGGTTTTAACATCTTCAAGGACAGATCATTCCTGCTTTCCAGCCAGGACCAGCCAGCCTGGGTTCGGCACAGGGCTGATAACTCACAGGAGCAGCAAGGGGGCCAGGGGAGGAAGGGGCACTTGCAGATGGGGCTCCCCAACCCTTACTTCCAACATTCTCCTAATTGCAATCATCAGGACCTTCCCTCTTGCCCCACAACCACCTCCTCCCTCCTTGTCACCATCCCGACCATGCTGGGGTGCCCTGGCAGCAGAGCAGACCCTGGGGACTCCCTCTGGTGCTGGAGCTGCACCCCCACTGCTGGGCAGCCTGGGGCCCTCCTGCCACCACAGCTTAAATTTAAACCCTAAATTTGTGGGTTTTGGGAGTTTATTTTCAAGATGTTTCTTGTGTTAAGGTGTTTATATTATCTTGCTTTTAGGAGTTCATGTGTTTGTTTTTGACAAATAAACTGGTGTGCTCATGCATCAGAAAATGGACAGAAAACACATTTTGGGGGTGTTTATGGCCAGTTCAGGCAGGTACTGCAGAGTGTCTGTGTTACCAAGTCAGGAGGAACCTGCCATAAGATTTCCCAAATGCTCCCTAACACAATAAGACTGACTTAATTTCTCTGCTAGCTCTGATTCTCACTGTCATCATCACCTCTGAATGAAGAACGCTGCAATATTAGATTATATTTTATTAATCACAGGAGAAATTTCCCCAAATGTTAATGTGATACGGAGGGTGTGATGACAAACATCCTCACAGCTGTGACGGGTGCAGAAGTGCAGAACCAAGGGGGTGAGGGTGGTGGTCGGGGGCATCTGTGACCATTTCCCCCTTCCTCCGAATTCCCTCTTTCTGCTGGGACTGCTCTGAAAGAGACACCGAGGAAAGCGGAGGAAGCTGTTGGGAAGGAGGTTCCTGCCCAGATGCGAGATCTGGGGACAAAGGAAGGCGAGAGAGGCACCGCTGCTTGTCCAGGTTCATCGCCCTGGCACTGAGGGCAGCTGTGCCCGGGGAGCTGGCACAGCCACCCCAGCTTCTCCTGCAGGCACGGAGCACTCCTGTGCCCCAGGTGTGCCCTCGGGCTCTCCCATGTGCGCTCACGACACGGAGCCATGAACATCAGAGGGGGCTTCGGGGGGCCGCAACTCCCCCTGCTCCAAGTGGGGACAGCTGTGGGCTCAGACTAGTTCGGGGTCTGGAGAGCCCCCGCAGCCCTCCAGGACACGGACACAGACCCCCACAGCCCCAGGACAGGAACACAGAGCCCCTGCAGCCCCCAGGACAGGGACACAGAGCCCCCGCAGCCCTCCAGGACACGGACCCAGAGCGCCGCAGCCCCAGGACAGGGACACAGACCCCCCCAGCCCCCGGACAGGGACCCAGAGCCCCCGCAGCCCTCCAGGACACGGACCCAGAGCGCCGCAGCCCCAGGACAGGGACACAGACCCCCCCAGCCCCCGGACAGGGACCCAGAGCCCCCGCAGCCCTCCAGGACACGGACCCAGAGCGCCGCAGCCCCAGGACAGGGACACAGACCCCCCCAGCCCCCGGACAGGGACCCAGAGCCCCCGCAGCCCTCCAGGACACGGACCCAGAGCGCCGCAGCCCCAGGACAGGGACACAGACCCCCCCAGCCCCCGGACAGGGACCCAGAGCCCCCGCAGCCCTCCAGGACACGGACCCAGAGCGCCGCAGCCCCAGGACAGGGACACAGACCCCCCCAGCCCCCGGACAGGGACCCAGAGCCCCCGCAGCCCTCCAGGACACGGACCCAGAGCGCCGCAGCCCCAGGACAGGGACACAGACCCCCCCAGCCCCCGGACAGGGACCCAGAGCCCCCGCAGCCCTCCAGGACACGGACCCAGAGCGCCGCAGCCCCAGGACAGGGACACAGACCCCCCCAGCCCCCGGACAGGGACCCAGAGCCCCCGCAGCCCTCCAGGACACGGACCCAGAGCGCCGCAGCCCCAGGACAGGGACACAGACCCCCCCAGCCCCCGGACAGGGACCCAGAGCCCCCGCAGCCCTCCAGGACACGGACCCAGAGCGCCGCAGCCCCAGGACAGGGACACAGACCCCCCCAGCCCCCGGACAGGGACCCAGAGCCCCCGCAGCCCTCCAGGACACGGACCCAGAGCGCCGCAGCCCCAGGACAGGGACACAGACCCCCCCAGCCCCAGGACAGGAACACAGACCCCCGCAGCCCCAGCACACCCACACCCCCGCCCGCCGCTCCCCGCACCCACCTGCGGGCGGACGCGCCGCCCCCCGCGCCCTCCTCCTCGCGCAGCGCCGGGCAGCGGCACCGGCACCGGGCAGCGACACCGGCACCGGCACCGGGCAGCGACACCGGCACAGGGCACCGGGCAGCGGCACCAGCGGCGGAGAGAGGCACCGGACACGGGCACAGGGCGGCAGGTAGCGGGCCGGGGGCAGCGGCCGCACCCCGGCATCAGCACCGCAGCCGGGGGCGGCGGCAGGAGCGGGATGGCCGCGGCTTGGAGGGACGCGGGAGGGGACAGCAGTCCCGGCCGGACGGGAGGAGACGGCCGGGTCTCCCCCGGGTCCCAGGGGTACCCACGGGAAGGGGCCGTGGGGAGCTCACGGGCAGGGAGTGGTACCGGGGCTACCTTTGGGAGGGGCTGGGAGCAATGTGAGCACTGACCGCAGGTCCAGGGGCCGCATGGAGGGCACAGAGGGGTGGGGAAGGGGCGGCAGGCTTTGCCCTCTCCAGGGACGCTCGGGGTGCACTGGCTGCTCAGGGCTCCAGGAACGCTCTGAGGAGTGAGACAGGGAGCAGGGGGCAGCAGGAGTGGGCGGCAGTGGTGGTTAGTGAAGAGGTAGAAGCAGGAGGCACTAGAAACAGAATAGACAGCATGACAGTAGCTGTTTCTCCTTCCCTCCGGCAGTGAGGAAGCAGAGATCCCGGCTTCAGCCCAGGAAGCCATCAGGGAAGTTCACACAGTCTCCAGTGGGCTTCATGCTGTGGCCCCCCAGACACAGCAGGCCGGTGGAGACCATCAGAAGCTCTCTGATCTCCTGGGGAAGCCGAGACAGCCGGGCAGCTGTCTGCACAAGGTGGGCATGGCCAGAGGGACGGTGGGATGTGGGGCAGTGCCCGGAGCACGGCATCCCAGGAACAAAGCAGGGGGCTCACCTCTCCTCCCCGGTTCCCCCCACAGCCGCCAGCCGCAAGTGCCATCACCCAGAGGGAAGCAGCAGCCATGGACGAAGCGACGGAGCTGGAGCTGGGGGGCAACTCCCTCCTGAAGGCCGTGTGGCTCGGGCGGCTCCGGCTGACCCGGCTGCTGCTGGAAGGGGGGGCTTACATCAACGAGAGCAACGAGAAGGGGGAGACGGCACTGATGGTGGCCTGCATCACCACACACGTCGACCAGCAGAGCATCCACAAGGCCAAGATGGTGAAATACCTGCTGGACAACAGAGCCGACCCCAACATCCAGGACAAGTCTGGGAAAACCGCCCTCATGCACGCCTGTATCCGAGGGGCTGGGGGGGATGTGGTGTCCCTGCTGCTGGAGAGTGGGGCAGACCCCAGCCTGGAGGACCACTCGGGAGCCTCAGCGCTGGTCCACGCCATCAATGCCGAGGACAACGCTGTGCTGCAGCACCTCCTGAATGCCTGCAGAGCCAAGGGGAAGGAGGTGATCATCATCACCGTGGACACATCAGCCTCCGGCACCAAGACCGCCAAGCAGTACCTGAACGTCGCCCCTGCGCTGGAGTTCAAGGAGAGGGCTCCCCTCGAGGAGGGCGCATCCCCCTCTGGTGATCACCTGAAAACTCCCATCTCGGCACCTTCCCCTGCCGGGAAGGAGAGCAGCATTCCCACCCCACACCCTTCACACACTGGGGATGCTGAGCCACCCTCCCCGGGCCAGAGAGCTGGCACTGCTCGGAGAGCCCACCTGCCGCGGCTGAAGCGGCTGCGGTCAGAGCCATGGGGTCTGGTGGCCCCCTCGGTGCTGGCGACTTCTGGTCACCGCGACGACACGCGGCTCTGCGCTGACAGCGAGGTCATCACGGGCATCGGCGACCTCTCGCTCTCCAAAAAGCCCTCCCTCAGCCGGAGCAGCAGCAGCAGCAAGGGAAGGGACCCCTCTCTCTTCCCCCCAGTGGATGAGCAGGCACTGGGGCCACTGGCACGGAAAGCCAGCCACGAGAAGAGCCCGAGCACGCACCCATGCCTGTCCCGGAGCATCACAGTCCCGGAGGAGCCGGAGAGCTCCAGCTCGGCCGCCAGCTCGGCTGCGGGGATGGACCCGCCGCACCGGTGGAGGCCAGGCACTGAACACAGCGGAGACTCCCAGGTCACCGAGGCGGGGAAGGGGCCACCAGAGAGCAGGAAGCTGAGCGGCTCTCACCTGGCCTTGCTGGATGGTTCCTGTGACTCTCCCTCCGGCAGCACCAGCACATCGCCCAGCAGCGGCCGGCGCCGGCCACCCGGCTTGCTGGAGAGGCGAGGATCCGGGACCCTGCTGCTGGACCACATCTCCCACACAAGGCCAGGATATCTGCCCCCCCTGAACGTGAACCCCAACCCTCCGATTCCTGACATTGGCTCCAGCAAAGCCCCCTCCCCGCTGGCTGCTGGGCTGAAGCCGCTGGTGCCGCTGACACCCGGCTCACCCAGGCGGGGTGATCTGAGAGCCCACAGGAAGCTCCTCCGCAGACATTCCATGCAGGCAGAGCAGATGCGGCACCTCTCCGATTTTGAGGAGCTCGTGGCGCAGTAGCCGTGTCACCGTCGGTTCACAGGGAGGGGACCGAAGCCGTGCTGTCCCTGCAGAACCGGGCCGGTTCCCACACTGAGTGGCCACTGTCTCCGGGGACAGGCTGGTGGCCAGCGGGTTCAGCACGGAGCCCAGGGGCTGAATCGGGGGCGGGCTGACCGGCAGATCGATCCCCCACCTTCCTAGATCGCCAAGCTCCGTGCCAAGGATCCCACCCGCAGTTCGCTTATTCCTCACTAGTTGCGATCCGCTTTTCTTACACCCTGCTCGTTCTCTCACCGAATCCCCTCCGGGAGCCCCCGGCGGTGATCTCTGGGGCCGAGGCGTTCATGAAGTGCCTTCCAGGGGGGGAAGGGGCTCGGTGGGCTCCAGCGGGGGCTGGAGGAGCGGGAGCACCCGTCCAGCCACGGGCCGTGTCGGTGCTCTCCCGGAGCGGGAGAGGGAGACAATCCTCCACCTCCGAGATTCCGGAGCGCTCCGGAGCTGCGGCGGCTGAGCTCACCCGGCCCCGCTGCAGCCTCGCCGGCTGTGGGCCGGGATGGGCTTGTCTCTCTCTGAAGCGTCTGAACTTCAGGGGGTTCATTCCCCAGCACGCCGAGGAGCTCTGAGTTCAGGAAGCGCTGGATCCCCAAGCAGGATGGCCCCAGCCCGGCCGGGAAAGCCTCGGCCAGCGGCGGGGAACCCGGGATGCCGAGTCACCGAGGGGACACGGGCTGAGCCCAGGGCTCCATCCAGCCGGGAAAGTGGCAGGCGCCGCTCCGGAGCCGAGACCCCGCGGGCCCCGACCCGCGCAGGGCCGTGCCTGCCGATCCCGTGGCTTCATGAACGCGTTCATTTACGACACTGCGTGTGCATGGGCTGCAGGGGCAGGCGCTGGGGCGACGGAGACTTTTGCACTGGTTTTGCCCCGCATTAATAAAGCGCTCAGCTTTGGATGGAGGCTGATCTCGCGTGGAGCCGACCCCAGCCGCCCGGCCAGGAGGGTCCCCGGGAGTGCCGAGGGGATCCCCGGGGCTCCCGGAGCGCTCGCCCGGAGATGCCGGGGGGCTCCCAGGGTGCCGGGCTCGGTGGAACGTTCCCGGGATGCCCGCGGGTGCCCACCCCGGGCCGGAGGTGCCGCCCGCGCCCCGCCCCGCTCCGCTCGCAGCGGAAACGCCACGTCAGGGGGGCGGTGTGGGGGCGGTGCTGGGGCCGGTGCCGGTGCCGGTGAGGGGCTCGGTGCGGGGCTCGGTGCCGGTGCGGGGCTCGGTGCCGGTGCCGGTGCGGAGCTCGGCGCGGGGCTCGGTGCCGGAGCCGGTGCGGAGCTCGGTGCGGGGCTCGGTGCCGGTGCGGGGCTCGGTGCCGGTGCCGGTGCGGAGCTCGGTGCGGGGCTCGGTGCCGGTGCGGGGCTCGGTGCCGGTGCCGGTGCCGGGCTCGGTGCGGGGCGCGATGCCGAGCTCGGTGCGGGGCGCGGTGCGGACCCTGTGCCTGGCCGCGCTGCTGGGCGCGCTGGGGACCGGCGGCACGGAGCTGACGCTGGAGCTGCCCGACAGCGCCCAGCGCTGCTTCCACCAGGAGCTGGAGAGCGGCATCAAGTTCACCCTCGACTATCAGGTACCACCCTGCCTGTACCTGCCTGTACCTTCCCGCAGCCCTGCATGCTCCGTGCCGGCACCCCCTGCCCATACATACCCCTGCCAGGGCCCCTCCGCCCGCACCCCGTTTGTGCCCCGTCCCTCTGCTCCTGCCCATGTGTTGTCTGTGCCCGTGCGGCCGCCCGTGCCCCGCTGCCCGTGCCCACACCCCTGCCCGTGTGTGTGCTGTTGCCTCTGCCCGTGCCACCTGCCCAGGCCTGTGCCCACACTCCCATCCTGTGCCCTGCAGAGCCCCAGGCAGGGCTGCAGCTCCCTCCTCCCGTGTGCCCCCCAGCTCCCTCCCAAAGAGTTGTTCCCAAGCCCAGCAGCGCCCACCTGAGAGCCAGGTGTGGGATGTGCCCACATTGGCCACGGATGCCCCTGACCTGGGTCATGAGGGCTGTCCCTGTCTCCAGGCACCCCACTTGAGCCACGGACACCCCACTGTGGTGCACGACCTCCCCAGGGCTCCCCTGGCCTGGGCCCCGTCCCACGGGCATGGTGCCCGCTGGCCTCACGCAGCCGTGGGGCCCTTGCCACGTTGCTTGGCATGTGCCACCACCTGAGGTACATCTCCCCACACCTCATAACACAGGTGATCAGCGGAGGACACTATGATGTGGACTGCTATGTGGAGGACCCCAACGGCAAGACCATCTACCAGGAGACCAAGAAGCAGTACGACAGCTTCTCGCACCACACCGAGCTCAAGGGTGTCTACACCTTCTGCTTCAGCAACGAGTTCTCCACCTTCTCCCACAAAATTGTCTACTTCGACTTCCAGGTGGGCGATGAGCCGCCCATCCTGCCCGACATGAACAACCGCGTCACTGCCCTGACACAGGTGGGTCCCGACAGGAAAGGAGGGAGGGGGGGTCCTGCCACAGCCCCAAGCAGCCTTGCAGGACGGCAGTTGGGGACTTGTTCCCCTCCTCCTCCGCTGGATGCAGAAGTGCCAACCGCCAGCCAACAGCCCCACCGCACACCACATCCTCTGCCTGGGTCTGGGGGGCTGTGCTGGGTCTGCGCTCCCCTATTGCAGCAGCCCGTGTCCATCCCACATGAGGGAATTACATCAGCCATTCCATCCCTTGGTGGGAGCCTCTGGGCTGGGCACCGCATGCCCCGCTGGGTCTCTCAGCTCTGTCCCACTGGAGAGCCACCCTGGATGGGTCCTGGCAGGGAACCTACAGCACAGACTGCCGTCCTGGCACGGCCCTGGGCTGCCTCAGCTGTGCCATGTCAGAAGCAATAGGGCACCCTTGTCCTTGTCCCCCAGATGGAATCTGCCTGTGTCACCATCCATGAGATGCTGAACGCAGTGATCGACTCCCAGACCCACTACCGGCTGCGGGAGGCGCAGGACCGGAGCAGGGCTGAGGAGCTCAGCGGACGCGTCTCTTACTGGTCACTGGGGGAAACCCTCATCCTCTTCGTGGTCAGCATCGGGCAGGTGATGCTGCTCAAGAGCTTCTTCACTGAGAAGAGACCCAGCAGCGGTGGAGCCGGCACCTAGAGCCGCTGTGCGTGCCCCCGAGCGGAGCAGGCCGTGCGACGGCTGCGGCCCCGGGCTCGCACTTTGCCTCCCATCTGTGCCGTGGGTGGCGGGGGGTGGGAGCAGGGGGTGACGTGACACTGCCGAGCTGGGCGAAGTCAACCACCTACAGGCGTCCCCCGCTGTCACCTCCCACGTGCCATCGCCCGACCCGCCCCGTCCCCTCGCCTGGCCACCCTGTCCCCGTTCTCCGGCTGCACTGGGAAGCGGCTGGGACCAGCACCAGCATGGACACCGGGGCTCCCTGGGGCCTGCGGCGTGGCTGCCCCAGAGCCCCGTGCGGCTGCCGAGGGGTTGGGGCAGCGCTGGTCCGCCTGGCAGCCGCCCAGGGCCGTCAGCCCGAGGAGAGCTGCCCATGAACCGGGGCTCTGTGTCGGCAGCCCAGCTGTCCTGTGGCGGGCAGGGTGCTCCCAGCAGCCGGGCCACGGCACCAGCAGCGTCCAGCAAGGGAAGGCTTTTTGCTGGGTGGTCCTCTGGCTCTACCAGCTCCTCCCCTCGCAGCATTTCTCGGGCTGGCAGCAGGTGCTGTGCTCGTACCAGTGGTGGTATTTTCATACAGAGTCCGTGCCTGAGACTCAGCCCCCTCATACATTCCCCCCACCCTGCAGACACGTGCCAAGGAAGCCCCATCCCTGCCCCAGAAGCACAGAGGACCCACACACACGTGGGATTGCAGCCCCTCGTTCCCTGGAGCCCCACAAAATGGAGACCCCCACAAGAGCCTGGGGTGACGCTCCTGTGCAAGACTGGAGTGACTGGTGTGCTGGCCCTCCAGCCCTCAAGCAGGTGTGAGATCATTTTTCAGAGCTAAAACAACTCCACTAGACTTTTCCTTTGCCACTTTCAAATAAATCCCTGCAAGCATGGCTGGCACTGCCGTTACTGGGCACAGCTTCTGCTTGCCCTCCTGCCTCGCCCCCCTGCCTGCACCAGCTGAGCTTGCCCCTGGCACAGAGCAGCAGCCCTGTCTGTGCCCACTGCCAGGGGGTTCTGCTGGGGTTCCCACGGCACAGTGAGGACCAAGGGAGCCCTGCGTCCCTCCCCAGCACAGCGGGGACCCTCGGGCAGAGCCCAGCTCTGTGGTCCCTTCCCTGAGGCTGGGGGATGCCAGGGCAGTTCTCCTGGGCTGTCCCTCACTCTGTCCTGGTGCAGGGAGAGTGAGGGGCCCGGGCACCCCCAGCCCTTGCCCACCTCTCCGGGCCCCAGCAGCCGTGCTGGCTCTGCTGTCAGCGCTGGCCTTGGGGCAGTGCTGCAGGCAGGAGAACCGGCCCCGTGTGCCTCCCGACAGCCTTGGGCAGCAGCCAGGAGCTCCTGTTTGGAGCAGAGCCAACATCAGCAGCACTCCGAGTCTGCTACCAGCCCGGTGTTGGCTGGCACGGACCAGCCCTGTGCCCACTGGCACACAGAGCCCTGCCGGGATGAACGGGGATGGAGCAGCCAGCCCTGGCCAGGCTGTGGATGGCCTCGAATCTGCCCCTTCCTGGGGACTCTTGAGCCACCCATGGTGGGGCCAGGGGCAGCTGTGACCCCAGTGGCTCAGGGGGCTGCCTCTGGGGACGCCAGCTCAGCTCCCAGACAGGGGACACGGGAGGGACGAGGGGTGGCCATAGGACACTTTATTGCTGTTCAGGGCACAGAGAAGGGTGAGGGGATGGGGGCACCCCCACCAGCCCCAAGCCCGCAAAGGCACTTCAGGGTGCGGGGAGAGATCAGCAGTGACTCCATCCCCACTGGAGCTGTGCTGACCCGGTTATCCTGCTGCCAGAGCCCCTGCCCTGAGCGCCCCAGCGGTCGCGCTGGTCTCACAGGGAGCTGCTGTGACTGGAGGCGTCCCTGGCAGCCCCTCGGGACCTCCGCAGCTCCTGCAGTCCCCGCCCGGGCGGCAGGGAGGAGGCTGAGCAGCGGAAGGAGCCGGTGGCTGGGGACGGGGGCTGGGCCAGGGGGCCGTGCTTGCATGGGCACCCCCAGCCCCCGCGCAGGGGGATGGTGAAGAGCCCGTACGTGATGGGGTCCAGGCACGCGTTGAAGAGGCCAAAGATGAAGAGAATGTGGGTGAGGGCCGGCGAGATCCTCTTCTCCATGGCGCGGGGACAGAACCAGTGCCAGAGCCCCAGCAGGTAGTAGGGGGTCCAGCAGAGGATGAAGGAGGAGACGATGACCAGGCTCATCCGCAGCATCCGCAGCCGGGCTCGGGGGATGTTGTTCCTGGAGCACCGCAGCGACGCGTCCTGCGAGGAGACTGGAGGGGCACAGCCCGTGAGGGGAACGTGGGGCTGGGACAGGGGAAAGCTGGGCTGACCCTGCAGAGCTCCGGACAGGACTGCCCCGGGTTGTGGGGCCGTGTCCCGTGTGGCCGGCACTCACAGAGGCCGGAGCCCATGCGGCGGGAGATCTCCAGCAGGATGCGGGCGTAGCAGCAGACCATGATGAGCAGCGGTAGCAGGAAGAGGCAGGCGAAGCCCACCATGTTGTAGAGGGTCTCCTGCCAGGGCCGGGGGAAGCTGCCGCGCGTCGTGCACTGGGTGAAGTTGTGCGGGGGGCGCAGGGTGATGGTGTGGAACACGAACAGCTGGAGACGAGAGAGGCGGGGTGGGCGTGACGGGGGTTTGCGCTTCCCGAGCCAGGGAGGGCACCGGAGGCCAAAGCAGGGACCCCCAGACCCACAGCCTGTGGGGTGGGACCTGTTACCACCCCTGCACGGGCTCTGCTCCGCACTGCCAGGGGCCTGGGGCGCACCACAGGCAGCGGGCAGAGCTGGGTGAGGGGGATCACTGTGCCGGCTCTCCACGCCCACCCCGCAGGGCTCCCCATCCCCACCCTGCAGGCCCCCGGCAGTGACCCCGCACAGCGTCAGCAGCCCCCGGGCTGGCTGGGGGTCCGTCCCGGGGGCAGGGGGTCCCGGGGTGGGTACCTGGGGCACGGCCAGCCCCGCGCTGAGGAGCCAGGCCGCGTGCAGCATGGCGCGGTTGCGGGCGCGGGCGCGGGCGATGGCCAGCGGGCGCAGGATGGCCGCCTGCCGGTCCAGGCTGATGACCACCGTGACGAAGGCCGAGGCGTACATGGCCAGCAGCCGCAGGTACATGAGCACTCGGCAGGCCAGGTCGCCCGCCCGCCACTGCAGCGTGATGTTCCAGACGGCGTCCAGCGGCATCACCACCACGGTGACCAGCAGGTCGGCGGCGGCCAGGTGCCGCAGCAGCAGGCGGATGTGGGGGCGCCGGCCGCTGCCCCGGCCCCCCACTGCCCGCAGCACCGCCAGGTTGCAGCCGGCCGAAAGGGCGAAGAGGGCGAAGGTGACGGCCACGCGCACCTGGGCGGCGGGGGAGAAGGTGGGCAGCCGCAGGGGCTCCTCGCCGTGCTCCTCGGGGGGGCTCCAGGCGCAGCCCCACTCGGGGGGCGTGGGGCCGGGGGGCTCCGCACTGGCGTTTCCCACTGCAGGGCCCAGGTCTGGATGGCCCCTACCTGCCACGACAGGCAAAGGGGCGGTGGCAGCCCGGAGGTGGGGGGCTCTGGGAGGGGCAGGCCACACTCAGCACCGTAGGTCTGTCTCCTAGAGTCCCCTGCTCAGGGCCACAGTGCCGATATCACATTTCTGAGCTCGCTTCCCCGTGTTCCATCCTCGCCTACTCGCTGCACGCTGCTGCTACCCCAGAGCTTCCAGCAGCCCCCAGAGCCCCTCCAGGCCCCCAGAGCTATGGGGGTCCCTGGCACCGAGCAGGGCAGAGGAAGACAGTGGCAGCTGACCCCAACACGCCACCCAGCTCAGGCCATTATTGCCGTGCCCCCCTCCCTGCCCAGGGTATCCCCTTGCCTGGGATGGTGACCCCACCCAGCCCAGCAATGACACCTGGAGGATGACACACCCCGTTCCCCCCGCCTCACCTGCATCCAGGCGGTCCTGCCTGGCATTCCCCAGCCAGGCCATGGCAGGGCCGATGCTCACACCGTGCCGAGGCTCTGTGCTGAGGGCTCCTGCATCTGCTCTGGGGCACGAGGGGGAGCGGGGCAGGTGCCGGGGCAGGTACTGCAGAGAGCCGGCACCTGCTGCTGCAGCTGCTGTGGCGTGGGCGCCCTTGGCAGCTCTGAATGGTCCTTGACGTATCCAGCGGCTGGGAACAGCACGGTCCTTCCCCTGCCACCCACAGCACACGGACACACGTAAGCCTGCGTGGTGCTCAACGCAGCAATGGACAGTGGGACGTGCCCCACATCGGTGGGAGGGAGCCCCCCAGCCCAGGGGGTGCTGCCAGTGCCCCCCAGCTCTGGCACTGTTGCTGCCAGGGCCAGGTATCAGAGCACACAAAGGCTCCTTGCATTGAGCTGCAGCATTTGAGGGGGGCAGACCCACACGTCCCTCCTCCCAGCCCTGCGACTGCCAGCTGCTCCCCCAGACTCATCCCCATGGCAGTACCCCCACACTCATCCCCATGGCAGTGCCCCCACACTCATCCCCGTGGCAGTGCCCCCACACTCATCCCCATGGCAGTGCCCCCACACTCATCCCCATGGCAGTGCCCCCAGACTCATCCCCGTGGCAGTGCCCCCAGACTCATCCCCGTGGCAGTGCCCCCACACTCATCCCCATGGCAGTGCCCCCATGGCTGGAGCACATGCCCAGGTCCCTTCAGCCGTGTCTGGAGAGCGGGGGCTGCAGCCTAGGAGAGGGCAGGGCAGGGGGCTGCTTTACATCTCAAAGCCTTGTCTCCCGTTCTGCCACCCCCCCAGAGGATATTAACCTCATTAGAGAGTCCTTTCACACTCCATGGGGTTCATTAACCCCCCGCTCTTCACCCCAGACCCCAGAGCTGGGAGGATACTCCCCTGACACATTAGCACATGGCTGCCAGGTCCCAACACCCTCCTGCTAATGGGGACCCCAGACTTCAGGGAGCCACCAAGGGGGCTGGGGGCATAGGGTCCCCATCACAGGCTCCCACTCTCTGCTCCTGGAAGGGTCTCCAGTCCATGGGCTCAGCCCCATCCCCACACCGAGCTGGACCCCAAATCTACACATTTCATTCTGTATTGGGAGCTCCCACAGGCCCAGAACTGCCAGGTGGGAAGGCTGGATCTGGAGGCTGCTGGGGATCCTCAGCCCTTCCTGGCCAGGGGTGAGCCCCCAGGGCAAGGGGAGGGTCCCTCTTGATGTTCCCCCAAGTTGCTCTCCCAGCTGCTGCACAGCCCCCAACCCCCAACCCAGTGAGGAGACCCCCGGCACGCCAAACCCCATCCCGTGCCCAGCTCCTGGGGACAGCCACACGGACACTCAGAGAGGACACAAGGGTTTATTCACATCCAGCCGCCGCCACCCGGCGCGTCCAGCACGGCTCCAGGCTCTGACGGGGCAGCTCGTCCCTGCAGCTATCCAAGGGCTGTGTGCGTCCCCAGGCTGCAGGGGTCCCGACAGGCATCGTGGGGCTCTGGGTGCTCCAGGCCCGGGGACTCATCTGGGTCAGTGCCGGGGCTGAGTGGGGAACAGAACCTCCAGCAGTGAGAGCAGGTCCGCAGAGAGATCCTGGGGAGCACATAGGGAGAGGGTGAGCAGCCAGACAGAGGTGCAGGCAGGGCTGGGGGCATGGGAGTGACAGCCCACCCACTGGAAGTGCTCCTGGCCAGGGACAAGCAGGACAAGGGACTCCATTCCGCCCCCACTAATGGGATCCCCACAAACACGAGGGAGGGAAGCACCAGGAAAGATGGGGCAGGCTGGGGGATGCACCCCACCCACTGCACGGAGCAGGGCTCACCTCTCCATTCCCTACCCCAGACAAGGCTGTTGGTACCCCAAAACCAGCTCCTGCACTGCCCCACACCAAGAGGACTCTGAGGCCGACCCAAGGGGGTTGATCCCTGCCCCATGCCGGCCCCATGCTGAGAATCGCTCCAATCCCACCAGCACGTACCTGGGTGACTGTCCCTGTGCCCACGAACTCTGACAGCACTAGTCCCATGTCCAGGACGCCACCAGGGAGATCCGGGGGGGGCCCAGCCCCTGCAGAGTGGGGAGGGGTCAGCCAGGGGGACGCGGTGGAGGTGACAGCCTTGTTCAGCTCTGAGGAGGTCCCCACTGCAGGAATGTAGGGGGGCGGCCCCCAGGTCTCCGTCTGGATGCTGGAAACCCCAAGCACCTCCGGAGGGGTCCCGGTTGCAGGGATGTAGGAGGGAGACCCCCAGGTCTCCATCCCGATGTTCGGACCCCCGAGTACATCTGGGGGGGTCCCTGCAGCAGGGGTGTAGGGGGGTGACCCCCAGGTCTCTAACCCCATCTCCGGACCCCCAAGCACCTCCGGGGCAGTGCCCTCAGCAGGGCTGCAGAGAGGTGAGCCCCAGGCACCCGTCCCCATGCCAGGAGCCCCGTGCGGCTCCGGGGGTGTCCCCGCCGTGGCAGGTGTCCCCCAGCCCGCAGCGAAGCCCGGCGGCGAAGCATCACGGGGGTCCGGGTCCTGGCAGCACCCCAGGCCCCGGGGGCAGAGAGGACAGTGCCGGGGGACCGGCGCCCCCCGGCCGAGCCCCAGCAGGGCGGAGAGGTGGGCGATGTAGCGGGTGGCGAGGCGCAGGGTCTCGATCTTGGTGAGGCTCTGCCCGGCGGGCGCCAGCGCTGGGGGCAGGTAGTGCCGCAGCCTCAGCAGGGCCTGAGCCAGCCGCCGCATCCGCAGCTTCTCCCGCTCGCTGGCGCTCTGCCGAGGGACCCCCGGCGCGCCCCCGCCCCGCGCCCCCTTCCTGCCCCTGGTGCGGGGGGCGGCGTGGCCGCGGCACGGTCCCCGGGCGGGGCCGGGGGACGCGAGGCCGCACGAGTCCGGCGATGCTGCGGGAGAGCTGCTGCTGTAGCCGAGGGGGTCCGGGGGGCCGCGGGCAGCCCAGCCCTGCAGAGGGGCGGCGGCGGGCAGCGTGTGGGCCATGGCAGGGCCGGAGGCTGGGAGCTGTGTGCCAGGGGCTCCCGAGAGCCCCGGCTTTATGCCGGGCCCGAGGTGTGAAGAGGCACCTTCGTGGCTGCGGGAGCAGCACTTCAAAGGCCGGGGGTCTGGGGGGGGGCCGGGGGCCGCGGCTGTGAACGCGGGGTGACGAATTTCACCCCAGAGGTGTGAAGCTGCTCGGTGCTGCCCTTCGGCCCCGCGCTGGGCTGGGGACGGGGCCGGGAGCTGCAGCGGGGTCTCTGCACATCTGCTGCGGGGGAGCTGCACTGGGGCTGCAGCACGGTCTGGGGGTGTACCGGGGCTCTGACGGGGCTTCAGTGGGGTTTGCAGTGCGTCTGCGGTGTCCCTGTGTCCCTGCAGCACGTCCCCAGACAGGGAGCTGCCCCCGGGGCTGTGTGAGACGCGCTCCCCCCGCCGCTTTGGGGGTGCCGCTCTCCCACCGCCCCCTGACGGACCCCTCTGGCTGCCCGGTGCTGGCGGTGGCAGGGGAACCCCCACGGGCGGCGGGTGTCGAGGGCCAGGGTCGGGGCTGGGAGGAGCCCCCCCGGCGCGTTCCCAGGCCCCGCAGGTGTCGGGCCGGAGGGTGTGAAGGTTTCCAGGGAAACGGCCCCGCCGAGGGACGGAAAATCCATCAGGGAGCAAGGGGACACGGGCACGGCACGGCACGGGCCCCCAGAGCTGTCGTGCACAGCCTGCTCTGGGGGTACATCTGCGGGCACAGCAGCCCGAAGTGGGTGTGCACAGCCCGCTGGTACACGGGGGTGCAGGACCCCCCCAAACAGGCTGTGCAAAGCCCTGGGAACGCGAGGGGCGCAGGATCCCCACAAAGCAGGGGGCACAGCTGAGGGGATACAGCCGGGGGCACAGGCGTGTGCCCATCTGAGCGGTGCCCAGCGCGGCCCCAGCCCATCCCGGGCCGCCGGTGCCAGCCCCGTTCCAACATCCAGGCGCAGGCTGGGGGTGCAGGGGTGTCCGGCGGGAGATCCGCACCCCCTGGCCCGGGCCAGGCACGGCCCCTTCCCCGCTGCCGGCCCCCTCCTGGGTCGCATTAGCTGATGAGCTCCCGGGTAATGAGTTCTGCACCCGCCGCAGCCGCTTCCCACCTCCCTGTTTGGACAAGTGCTGGGGCGCGGCTGGGCTGGGGCAGCGCCGGCCGTGGGGTCAGAGCCCCCGCAGCCTTGGGAAAATCCCCAATTGTAACAAATAGAGTTTAAGTCTTGCGAATTCCTTTAGCTTCAGCCAAAAGTGCTTAGTCCTGTATTAATGTGTGCAAGTGGTTATCTTAGCCTCAAAGACTCCGGGGCCTGAGCAACACCAGTAAGATGTATCTTGGGCAAACCGCAGAGCTGGGAGGTATTCAAAGACAAGAAATCTTTTTTTAAGGCCTATGACCAAAACCGGATACTTTGAGGAATGGGGTGTTCCCCAAACGAGCACCAGAGACCCTCAAAAGACCCCTACTCTTATGTAAATGAGCTCCAAAAAGTGATACAAATAGGCAAAAGAATTTGCGGGAATGTTTAGCATACATGTACAAGTTTTGGGAAATGTAATTAATAACTTTAAAAGATTTAAACTAGTCTGCTAGCCAGCTGTGCTCTGTGTAGTAGGAGATATCCCCTGCACACCCAGCACTGAAATAATGCTACTTCCTAATTCTGAAATGACAGTGTCAGAGGGGTTTATTCCCAATTTTTGGTGACAGCAGGACACCCCCCAGCCCCCCACCCCAGGGAGCAGGGTGTTCCCCCATCTCTTCAGCTCCTATCAATGGGCAGGGTGCAGGGCCATGAGGCAACATGGCCAGGGCTCCACACCGGAGCTCAGTCAGTGCCCAGCTCAGGCTGTGCCCCCAGGAGCCCCCAGCCCTTCTGCTGAGAGGCTCCTGCCCTGCTGGGACCCTCCCAGGACACGTCCCTGCCCTCTGGGGACCGCCACCCCTGCTCTGGCACCTCCCGGCGCAGGCGCCTGTGTGGTTTTGGGGTCCTGCTTGCCCCTCTCTCTGGGATGGCGTCGCTCACAGGGACACTGCCCAGGGCTGTGTCTGGTGCAGGGCTCAGTGCTGCCAAGCACCTGGCAGACAGCCCCCCTCACCCCTGCTCTCCCTCAGCCCACCGGCACAGGGTGTCCCCTGACCCCAGCAACATCAACATTTTGGCACCCACCACGGCGCACCCCCGTGCCCTGGGGACCCCAACCCTCATCAGCACAGGGACCCCCAGACCAAGCAGCACAGCCTGTCTGGAGCCGTGCGGGGCTGCCCCCGTGGGACCGCGGGGACAGACGCAGCACGGGCAGTGCAGGGATGGCTCTGGGACCCGCACCCGAGCACCCTGCACGCCCCGCTCCCCCTGCCCCTTGGGGCCGTCAGTCCGAGCCAGCAGCGGCCGTGGCTGGGAGCCGGGCAGAGGACAGGGAGCTGCGGGGACCGCGCTGGGTGCCGGGGCTGCGCTCGGGGTCCGGCGTTGGAAGGTCCCGGGCTCGGCAGAGGCTGTGCGGGAGCTGCGGGGCGATCCGGTACCGGGCTGCGGGGCTGGCGGCACGTTAGCATCTCTCACGGCCGTGTGAATGGGTCTCCACACACTTCCCAGCGCCGGCAGGGCCAATTAAGGACCAAAGGAGTCAGATCTGACACCTCTGCAAATGGGCCCGGCATTCCCAGGCTCCTGCCGCCCGCCCGGAGCGGGGCGAGCCTGGGGGAGCTCCGTATCTCCAGGTGGGCACAGGGGCATCGGCCCGCACCCCCGGCCCCCCGGTACTGTCCTCTCTGCCCCCGGGGCCTGGGGTGCTGCCAGGACCCCCGTGATGCTTCGCTGCGGGCTGGGGGACACCTGCCACGGCGGAGACGCCCCCGGAGCCACACGGGGCTCCCGGCATGGGGACGGGTGCCTGGGGCTCACTTCTCTGCAGCCCTGCTGAGGGCACTGCCCCGGAGGTGCTTGGGGGTCCGGAGATGGGGTTAGAGACCTGGGGGTCACCCCCCTACACCCCTGCTGCAGGGACCCCCCCAGAGCTTCAGAGGATTCCCGGCTACACCGCCCGGGAGCCTCTCCACAGATGTGCCAAGGGTAATAGGATGGCTTCCTCCTGCTGCTTGGAGCCTCCCGGGACAGGACTGATGGACGCAGGGCACCACAGCACCCCTGCACCTGGATCCCAGCTGCCCACGCGTCACCAGGTACCCAAAGACCCAGCCCAGCCCCTGCTCCTGCAGTCCCTGGGCTGGAGTGGAGGACGATCCTCGTGGGGTGGGTGGCAGGGGGTGCAGGGTGGGGGGTCCCACAGCCACTCACCTCCCACAGCTCTCCCCCAAACAGCTCAGCAGCCCCTGGGCCCCAGACAGGCTCATCTTCCCTGCTCCTGCCGCAGCCTCTCTCCTGCCCAGCTGCCCCCCAGCACACAGCACTGAGGGGCTGGAGCTGACTGCAGCCCCGGACAGAGCCCACACAGGCACGGTGGCACGGCAGGGGGGGCAGGGGGGCAGGGGGGAAGGGGGCAGGGGAGCAGTGCCATGGGTCGGTGGCACGGCCATGCCGCAGAGCTGCACGGGTGGGGCAGACACCAGGATCCTCACTAAAGCTGCCCTGCAGCGCTGCTCCCCTGTTCCTTACTGCGGGACCTGCTGGCTGCACCCCAGCACAGGCCGGACTGGGGGCACCCTCCAGCCTGGCTCCCCACACACACACAGAGCCAGGTGGTGCCCTGGCCAGCGGCTCGGTGCCCACTGCCAGCCCAGCCCACAGCCCAGACGTGTCCCAGGGCTGGGGTGGCAGAGGGACTCACCACCTTGGCCATCCCCAGCCCCACTGACCCCAGCTCCCACCTGCCTGGGGGTCCCATCCCATCCCTTCCTGTGCCCACCTCCGTCCCTTCAGGGTAGCCCATGGGGGACGGTCCCTCCTACCTGTCACAGCCACCCCCTGGCCCCCGGCCCGAGCCTGCAGCACCTGCCCGCAGCAGGGGCGGGCAGAGGGGTCCTGGTGCCAGTGCCCCTGAGCAGGGCCCGGCAGGAGAGCTCACACGCAGCTGTCAGACAGAGGGGCTCGGGGCTGGCGTCAGCGAAGCCCCCAGAGCCACTTAGCACCAGGCTCCTAACAGCCCGGGGGCTCACAGCCCCGGGCCCTGCCCCAGGCCCGCGGGGCCCCTGGCACTTCCTACCCAGTCTGTCGCAGTCCCCCAGCACGGCCCGCAGCACCAGGGTGCCCCTGGAAACCGGGCAGGATTTTATTCACACCCCCAGAGCGCACCAGCCTGACCTCCCCTCCGAACCCTCCACGAGCCGGACCGGCAGTGCAGGACTGGGGGCCACGGGGGATGGAGTGAGGGGAGTCGGGAGTGGGCGAGGGTCCGTCCCGGTGGCTGGGGAAGCGCAGACTCCTTTATTTGCTTTGTTTGCTCTCGTCCTCAAACCACTTCAGCACCGTCGCCCGGTTCTCCTTCACCCAGTTGATGTTAGCGCGGGTCCGCTCCAGCGCCTGCTCCAGCGCCCGCGTCCCCGACCCAAACCCGATGTCCTGGTTGTCCTTCTTGAACTGCTCCAGCTGCCAGGCAGAGATGGGGCTGGAGCAGGCGGGGGGTGGGCCTGGCAACCCCTGGCAGATCCCAGAAGCTCCCAGTACCTCTGGACACCACCCAGGAACACCCCAACAGCCCCTGACAACCCCTGTGAGCACTCCAGCACCATCCCAGCATCTCTCAGCTGCTCCCTGGCAGTCCCCAGGAACACCCCAATAGCCTGTGTGAGCCCCCCAGAACCACTCCGGAAGCCCCCAACACCACCCAACATCATGCTGACAGCCCCGGGAGCCGCCCTGGCAGGGTCCGGCCTCACCTGCTGCAGCTCAAACTCTGAGGAAAAGCGCTGGGTCACAGATAAAATCAGGCGGGAGAAGGAGAAGGAGCCGCCCCCGTACCTGGGAGAGCAGAAGTGTGCTGAGCCAGCGGGGAGGGGATGGGGAAGGGACAGTGCCACCCCCAAGGGGTGC